AAACTATTCTATGATTCTATGATATGCTGTTTTGAGGGTGGGAGACTAGTTTTTAAACAGATGCACAAGCTCTTTACCTATGCCCCCAGTTAAATAAAACCTAGCACCTGCCCAATCACAGAAATGGACAAAAATCACTCTAGCTAAAAAGCCTACTCCTTGGGCACTGAAATGAAAAGGAGCAGCAATTTAGAAGCTCTATTTTCGTTCAATCACAGAACAATTCCGGTTTTTCTTTTGGTCTGAGGATAGACACAGGTGAACAGAATTTTCCTTCATAACACATCAGCTGATTGCACAAAGCCTACATATACCATCAAGTGGCTGCCAGGAATTGTACCAGCTGTAGACTGTAAAATTAAAGGTGGGTTCTTCAATAGTGTGTGGATAATAACGCATTATTCTCACTGCAGCCTCTAAAACACCTCCCATGAATTCTAATGGTACGATTAATCCAATGAAGACTACTGCAAAGGTCTTTATATACAATTGATATAAAAAGAAAGCTGAAAAACTTGCCTGGATGAAATAATAGAGAGACTTCCCGTATTTCCTCTTGAATTCACTCTTGATTTTCAGCATGTCAACCTCGCAGCGGGAGACCATAATCCTGATCAGAACCTTGTCACGGGTTCCCTTGCCCTACAAGCAGATACACATTTAGAACTGTAATAGCTGAAATGTGTAAAAGGCCACTGTACCTAATGGTAAGACAGCAAACTACAGGCAACTGAGAAGTAGCAATAGAAGATAAAATGAGTTATATCTTCTAACTAAGGTCATTACTATGATCCAGGAATTTGAGCATGAACATACCTTTCTGATCAGCAGTGTTTGACCAACTTCCAGTCACAAATCTAGCTACTTAGACTGTAAGCAGCAGTTCTGGTTCACCAGGAGGTCTTCCTGGTACTGCCTAATGCCTGTCACCAGGCATTTCTCTGTCATCCCTTTTCTTCAGAAAATGTTTTGAGGCAAATTTAGTGTCTTATTTTGGCACTTCAATAAACAGCTTTTTCTGCTATCAGCTCTTGATTACCTGCAAAAGATGTGTCTAACTTTTCTAATTATAATCAACTGATCTAATACAGGTCATTATTATGAGACCCTTCCCTATATTTCCCTATATCAGATGCATCTGAATAGATGGTCTAGGCTCATAACTGTAAAGAATGCTTTTGAACAACACTAAGTCATTGTTAATTTATTCACACGCCAGTCACACATAAGTGTGTGAATAAAAGTGCCTAAGGAGTCAAAATTTGATGAAACAATGGCAAGAAAAAAATGAGTAGAAAGAAAGAATAGTCTTCCCTACCTTCATGGAATCATACAGTCTGTCCGCAAAATACAGCTGCTTGTTCTGAATGCACTGGACTGAAGAGAGAAGTAAGAGTAGTTAAACATCCTGCCCATACATGGAATAGCTGAACACAGAATCCTGGAACCATTTTTAAAGACATGGTAAGTAGTCAAAATAAGGTTTTCAGCAAAAGTTTCTCCAAAGGGGGACTTAGACAAATTATTTTTACCTGAGTTGTTACTTAGAAGTTGTTTGGCTAAGCTTGTGATTGAACCACAAATGCTTACAATCCAGAAAGTATTTCCCTCCATCGCTAGTATCATTTGAGAATGCTAGCCCTCCTCCACACGCACCGCAATTCATTCTTCCACTTCTATAAGCAATCTCTTTTCTGAAAACAGTAATTGTATGCTAATCCCTTTCAAGGATGAGCTCTGTTTATTCTCCATTTGCATTATAGAGCTCTCAGTTCACCCTTAGTCTGAAATGGATTTTCCTCTTAAACTTGGCGGCATCCTTGTCATCTTCATCTCATGCCACAGTACCGGCCCTACACCCTGCCTCCCCATTTCAGAGAATTCAGTGCCAAATCAGCTCTTTTATTAGCCTCTAGCATCCTCCACTGCCCGTCGTCTTCTCTCACACACACACTGTTCTCTCTCCAGCCTACATCTATACTGAATACTTAATGTGTTCAGCTATAGTTCCAACCTTTTTGTTTGTTTGGGGAAACAAACATTAAGCCTCTATCAAACAAAAGTGGAACTAACAACAGATCACAAAACACATGCATTTTTATTTTCATCTGGAAAGCAAGGTTTATATTTTGCAGAGGGCAAAAATATGCTACTTCTCAATACCTGTAATATCCTAAAATATACTAATGGATCCAATAATGCCAGCACGTCCAGTTTATTTCTCATCCAGCAACACAGAGGAAGCTGGGCCCTATCCTTATCATGATACACTGCAAGAGCACTGAAAAGATCCTATCTTCACTTCAGGGTAACTCACCAAGATTAAGGAAGGCATTCTCCAAATCTCCCTTAACCTCCTTCTTGATGCTCTCCAACATATCATATGGGCTGTAGCTCTTGTACCTGTCAAACACTATCACAAGAAAGAAAACAAGTGAAATCAAAGCCAGACCAAGAACTGGTAAAAGTAACCACTCAAATCAAAAACAGAGACAGCAATGCAGAGACACATGATTAAAAAATACCTGTCCAAGTCCTTCTGAGAACTTTATCTTAAGTACAGCCTAAGTTTGTCAGCTAATAGTAAAGTTCCCATGCTATGGCCTTTTTGTTTTTCTTGAACACCTCCATAAGCTGGTAAAATACCATCTTAATCCGGTACTGGTATTTTTTGAAACAACAGTGATCTAGGCCCTGAAAAGAAAAGTCTTCAAATGGCTTTCCCATGTGCTTCTTCCAGCAATATGAGAGCTGCTTTTGAGAGTCTTCACTGTCAGACTTAAACGCATGATATAGCTAAGCTACCCTAGGACAGAAGAAAAAGCTAAAGGACTTCTCAAGGTCTCCTGCAGCCGTGTTTTCTAGATTTGTAACATTTTTGTTCTCAGTGTACGTGACATGTAATCGAGTATTGTTACACCTGTGTAAAAAAAGAGCTCTACACACATTCAAACATGAGATTAAGACATCCACAGAAATAACTATATTTTTGGAAAAAAATTAACAGTTTCGACATGGATTAAGATTTATGAGATCTCCTATGTTTTATGAGTGCTTTTCACACTCATTTCAATCATATCTGGGACAAAATAGTTACCACTTCCGTATAATTTTCTCTTATAGGAAAAAAAAAAAATGTATCTGTCTCTTGAATGGTACCTTTCTGCAGGTGGGGGACACTTCTTTCAGTCATAATGTTGATCCACTTGGGGACATCAGTTCCCTTTCTCTTCACACCCGCATCATAGAGCTCCTGGGGTTAGAATGAAAAGCAAAATCAGGAAAGTCGGGAGTTACACAAGAAGCCATCGCAAATGTATACAATTTCCTAACTGGAAAACAAGCACTATTGGAACTGCGCAGTGCGAGAAACACAAAAGGACACATGGCTGGGCAGACCACCAGGACAAGATCTATGGATCTAATCTGAAACTAAGACTAATTACCTCTATCTATAGGTTTTACTCTGTGTTTAGCTCTGTTTACCTCAGCAGAACTGCTCTTGACAGATACAGATGTAATAAACAAGCATTAGCAGCCACTAAGTTCAATGATACTTCTCTCAATCTTACACAATTATTTGGTTGAACCAGCCTTCACAATGTATGTGTTTCTTTTTGTTAAAGACTTTCTTTCTCAATATGCCCAAGGGAAATACCAGAGAGCTTCTGTATCGGTACTAGTGGGTAAGTAGACTGTGAAAACTGATAACGGAAGGTATCAGGATTGCAAGTGGCAGATACCTTGATAGCATGCAAACATGACTGTGCAAGACAATCTGAAATATACACACCTACTTTCATACATGCTTCTCACTCCCGTAGTATTTGTACTTTCAATATCCCTAAAAGCTTGATCAACTTAAGACGTTTAATGGTCATTACCAGCACTTACCCTAGCATCTTGGTCAATCAGCTCATAATCAATCACAGAGGTATCTTCACATCTTTTGCCCTTCAGACAAAGATAGCAGTATTTAGAAGAGGTTTAACAGACAGTAAGCAGTTTGCTATATGCATATTCTTTTCTCTTTGATTTTTTTTAATCTAAATTTGCTAAATGAGGAACAGTATGCTCCATCCCCATTATGAAGCTGCTGCTATGAATGCTGTATTTCTGTCAAAATACTTTGCCCTTCAACATTTTTAATTTTTTTTCCCCCCAAAGACAGTGAAAATATAGGGCAATTTAAAAGCGAATCAGAAATCCAATAGTTTTACTGGCAGCCATCAGTCAGTTACCAAAGGGCAGGCACATTACGAAAAGTGGAAAAATATGAACAGACCTACCTTGGCCAGGGCAACCATTAGCTTGCGGAAGTCACCAGATGTGTCTGATATAATGTCCTTTTCCAGTTCTGTCTTGTACACTAGAAAACAAGAAGTTCTTTTCAAGTAAATGGTGTCCTACAAATACTCTTTTACAAGAACAGCAGCTGCTAATTACTGTGGTTTATGCACATAAACAAACAGCTACAATCTAAGTCAAATGTGGAAGACAATGAAAACAAATGCATGCTTGCATACAACAAAACCAACATTGCTACCAGCTAGTCATGAGAGTTCCCATGCAATCAAAGTCTGTCATGGAAAGATAACACGAAAGCCTGAGAGGGAAGGGAATATTGTTTTAAGCTCAATATCCTGTTAGATCATTCTTAGCTACCAATGAATGTTTGCTTGTTTGATAAACATAGCATTTAGGCTTTCTCCACTTGTGGATTTATGACTGGACAACTGCGATTACAAGTTTAATGCAAAAGACAAAAGCTGTTATGATAAATCAAAAGAATGCTGTGTGTGTTTCTGGTCTGGTGTCTAAATATTTTCATTGCTTTCCAAGTGGTCATACTCTATATTGCTACAAAATCACATTCTCTCTTCTTTTCAGCTGCAACCTAATCTACAGCAGCAACATTCTCTTTGCTGATACATAATTTTTTTTTCTATACTGGCCATTAAGACTACATTGGTTTTGCTTGTCCTTTTTTACTTAGCCAGCACCTTACCAGAATTGTTTGACAACTATTAAGCATTAGCATACAGCAGTTTTCTACATTTCAGTCTATTTGTGATGAAGCTCAACTCTGAAGCTCAGGGAGACAAACAGGCACTGGACAGCTGCACTATTGAATTGCAATAAACCCAAACAGAATGGCCAATATAAAAATATATAGGCAATATTAAAAGAAAAGTAGTATTTTTTGAGGATGGATCTTAGATCACTCGTATCTACTTATAATCAACTAAGAATTATAGCTTCAATCAGATAACATGCTTTTGAAAAGCTGAAAAAAAAGAATATATGCTTTTATGAAGTTTTATTTCATGTCTTTTCTGGCAGGTCTACCAAAAAAGCTTACAAGCATTCTTCAGTAGATTTAGATTCACCTATTTATTACATAATTGATCCTAGAATCCATAAATCTAACATCATTAATTGTCACTGTGCACAGAATGCATGTAGCTTACAAAAAACTCATTTAGACACAACTTATATGAGTAGTAATTGTTCTCCAATTTGTTTGCCACCAAGCAACAAGACGAAACTATATAAACACACACAAATATCTAGGACACCAGGACGAAATAGTATCTTATGTCCAAGTGCCAGAAAATCAAAGCAGATGTTGTGTGACTCTCATAATCAAATTCATTCACTGAGGGGAACTTATCCAAGTAACTTCAGTGTAAAAACATAGTACACTGAAACTTTCAAACCAAACTTACTTTCCCTGTAGACTCTGTTAATTTCACTAAGCTCCTGATTTGTTCGTGAGCAGATGATTTCAATGAGTGTGTCTTCATCAGTTCCCAGACCCTGCAACATAGGTATGATTCAGTTAGGTGCTAGAAATGAACAGGCATTCTTGAATGATTTAAAAATATTTTACAGACATCTCCTTTCTCCCACTCTAACAGTTTCACAACCATTCAGTGATATTTTTTGCTAACTGCGCCTGAGAAACCCCAGATGGAACATTTTTAGTTGCCAAATACTACTCCAATAGCTTTGAGATCCTGTAGATATTATCTCTGGGCAATCTGCATTTGCTGTGAGTGTCTGTAACACCCAGTGCCCTCCCCACCAGCATAAGTGGATGAGATCAACTTATCATGGCCCACGTGTGATTGTTTTCTGTCCATTGAGAGCACAGGAAGAAAATCCAATTCTTAGCATGCAAATGGGCAACAATCAACTTGTTCTTCCCTGCTTTTCTTCGCCACTTGCCTCCATACAACTCCTCCACTATAAATGCAAAGCCAAGGATGACACCATCATTAGCCTTGGCCTTGTCTCCAAGCCAGCAAAGATTTAAGCATGTTCTGAATTTCTAGCTAATAAATAGCCCCTCTTGAATTGTCCATATTTTCCATGTACTTCACAATGGACAAATACAGATGAAACAATATTACTATTAGCTATATTAAGAAATAAAAATGTATTTAGTATGATAAACTAAATATTCAGATTTTTTTTTTTTTTTAACAAGCTGAATTAATTGAGAGGTCTTATATAACATTTCAGAGCCACTTTTGTGATCAAGGTCAATGAAGAATCAGTACTTTCAACTAAGCTGCATTACTACTGTTTAAAAAGTAATATAGGTATCAGCACTATAACAAAATTACAAACCACATCAAAATGTATCAGTTATCAATTAAGCCTTATAGTAACTCAGATACTCCAAAATAATGTGGCTTGATCAACGTGCTCTAAACCTTGTTCAATTACTTTATATAGATAAACAGCCAAATAAAAAAAAATTTAAAAATTGCTAACAACACTGCAATATTCTTGCTCCTGGAGAAAGACGGGAAACTCTGAAGGACAGGCTCAGAACAGAAGACTAACTTGGATGAGCTGAAGATGCTTCTCTCTCCAGTGACCACTAAGGATGTCTGGGTTACTAGTTGGTAAAGCCATCTGGCAGCCAGATACCTCAATAATTCGATAAGAAGCTTTTTAAAAAATAGACTCCACTGGTGATTTTTTCATTCTGTTGTTTCTTTCCTACCAATGAACAGTGTTCACGCTAATCTCATTACCCTCATCTTCCAGCATCACCAGCAGACAGAAAAAACACTCTTATGCCTCCTGTTAGGATGCTGTTTGTTAAGCCCATCTGTAACAGAATGTCATTTTGTACGTGGCAAAAATGGGTATGGTTTCCACAGGACTCCAAGAGGAGTCTGCTGGGTAACATCTTAGGAAAACTTCTCATACTGCAGCCTTTCATATGTGGAAAATGGAGGTAATTACGTGGAAAACTACCCTCTTGGAAAAAGTGTCTCTATTGAAAGAAAAAAGAGAGAGAGGACTAAACCCAAGCAATTTTATAAAAATGGCTCACAGCTAAGAGAATTAGAAAAGCTTTCCACAGAGTGGTTCTAACAGGTATCTGGGAAAGAAATGAAGGCTAACAAAATTTAAGATTTTCTAAATATTTTTTAAGTATTTCATAAGAATGTGTACCAGAAAAATAATTAACTCCTCAATGATGACTTTGCTTTACCCAACTTTGATTCCCATGTCATAGCTTATTATGCTCTAGGTACCAAGTCAAACTTAAGCTCAGGCAAATTCAGAACATTAGACTAGGGGCTTGGGAGTTGGGAATAGCTGACGTATGGAGAGAATAGAATATTCTACATTTGTGGCTACTCTGAGGTAATAGCTTGGTCTTTGGGCTGTAAATACAGCATAAATGCTATGTGGTCATCCTAAATGTAACATATCAGATATAAGACATTAAAAAAAAAAAAAAAACAACAAAAAACCCCCAAACCAAACCAATCTGATTCACAGTAAATTATGGATAGCCTCTACTTACACCAGAAGAGGGCAGCATCTGATTACTCAAAGAAGGGATTTGGCCCATAATTAAAGAGTTACCATCTCCATACTGGGTTGGTTTTTTGGGTTTGGGGGTTTGAGGGTTTTTTTTTGGGGGGTGGTGGAGGGGGTGGTTTTGTTTGCTTATTTGTTTTTTAACTCCTTTTTCATAGTCTGGAGAAATTAATTAATTGGTTTTTTGTCTTGTTCTGATTTCAACAGACATATTTTAATACTTGGGTTTTAATTATTTTTAAAAAATTAACCTGATCAAGAACATTCAGAATTTAAGTGATGATTATAAATATAAATTCCCAAACTTTACTTTGCGTATAAAGGTGAATGCACTGGCATGAGCACCTCTCAAAGTCTTGTTTCAGTAGCCTGCAGAACGGATATCTCTAAACTAGCAATCTATTCCACACTTGCCTGTGATTGTAGGGGACTGAACACAGTGACTCACTGCTGCGCTGTTTCTCCAAAGACTGCTTTTGATACCCCATCCTCCTCCTCCTCGTGTTCTATACAGAGGCAGGTCTGGTACAGGATGTTCTTTCAAGATCAGTGATATGACCCAGTAACTGGAAACTACTGTTTAATCCTATAAATGCTAGCAGAGGATTTAATGGCTCCAGCTAACAGCTGCTCTCTTAACAGTTTTTTGTGCTATGAACCTGTATATTTCTTTTTAAGAGCAGTCAGCAAAGCAGCAACCAGCCAGAGCAGCCTATCAGTTATTCCTGACCTGATGAAAATTATTTTTTTCCTTAAAGAGAGGATTTAATTAACAGTTTAAAAACCACATGGTTCCAGAATTTCTCTCATTTTGGATGCCTTGGAGCTGGATACTTAAACTGTAGTACTAAAAAATATAATAATCAGTGGACATGTTTGAAAACTGTGGCCTTGGATATATGAAGTCCCTACTCATTCTTGAGACAGCGACATCAGACTAACATACTTAAATTTCAAAGCTCATTTACCTTCATGGCAGCTTTCAATTCAGAGGCATCATACTGTGCTGGTGTCTTCAGCAAGCCCAAGATCACTGCCTCCAAATGACCTGATAGAGCAGACTTGAGCGCTGCAGAAAGTTCCTGTAAAAAAGAAGGGATGATGGAAGAAAAAAATTAAAGCTCACTTCTGATCTCCAGAGAATTTAGCCTGTAGTGCTTTAAGTCTCCAAGCTTGCAACACTGTTTCTCACACAACTGACAAGGAAACAGAACATAAAGAGCTCTTCTTTTGTGAAAGTCTAAGAAGGAAATTCGGGCAAAGGAATTCTTTCTCGTCCTTTGAAAATAAGAAGAAATCCACTGGTGGCTGACAAAGTGCTGGGAAGCATGGTGCAGACACATCTGAACAGCTCCTCTCCAGTCTTGAAGCACTGACACTTTGTCGGAGCTAACAGGCACAGATGGATCTGAGTTTGATTCCCTGCAGTCCGTGCTTCTCCATCATACTCCCATAGTTTTCCCAGTAGCACTGTGTAATTTGTGTTTTTCCTACTATCCCAGCCCTTTACTAGCTGAGACATTGGAAAATTGACTGCACAGTTATTCCACTGTACAGGCCCAGTTCCCAAAAAGCTAGCTGAAGAGAAAAAATTCATCCCTGAGCACAGAAAAATTATCCCTGTCTTCAAGGAAACTATCAGAAGAGTGTAGCCAAAGTCTCTATTGTTAACTGTCAGTCAATCCTAGAGAAAGAAAGCGTCAGGTATGTTCACTTCACAGAATGCATGCAAATCTGTAGCAAATAAAGTCAGAGGCATATCCTCTTTTGTGGGTTTCAGATGCAACTTGAATAATGCTAATTATCAGCTTCATTGTAGTGTAGTTACAAAGTTGAAATCTCTGGGACCAAGTCTGGGGTTCACACAGATCAATGTATTCCCTAAGCTGAAGTTAAGTCTAGCATTCAGAAGAGAATTGCTGCATTTCAATTGCTGGTTTCTACACTAACAATTTGTGAGCTTGAGGGGCAGGGAAAAGGGGGTAGAGAAAGTGACCTCAGCAAAATTGCAGAGAAGTTTGTACCAGAGAGATAAAGAGCCAAGGCACTTAGTTCGTTTCCAGACTCACCCACTTAATCCAGGGCACTAATATATGCTAATACTGTACGCACTTACTGCATGGATTGACCAAGATAGCGAATGGGGTTTGGGGCATCTAGTTGCTTTAGTCTAAGAAACATTTTAGTACAGTAACTCAATTTTGGATACAATGTTCCATAATTTATTTTTGTGAAAAGAGGTTCTTCAGACATCAGCTGAAACAGCAAAGATACCGCATCTCTACAATAAATTTCAGGAAAATGCCATGAATTCCAATTAGCTGAGTGAAGTTTTTGCCATCTTTGCACTTTGGTGTGAAGGCTGAAGGAAATACAAATCACTGCAGTAGGATTTACCAAAATAACTGCCACAAAACACCTCGAAGCACCTGCCCTCATATTAGCAGGCTTCTGGAGAAAGAAGGTCTTCTCCCCCTGCCAGGAAAGCAGGGTCTCCACTCCGCCATTCTTTGCCATGGCTAGGAGTGCTCTAAGAGAGAAGTGAGAAGCAGATAACTGACAGATACCATTAATTTATAAATAGCAAAGAGAAAAGGCTTTACTAAGTGTTCCAAATGAGCACCTGGCTATTAGCAGTTCATTTCAAAGTTAGAGATTATTGGCGACAGTTAGGACTGACCAGACTTATATGAAGACACACATGCAGAAACCCCAGTATTCACTGGTAGCTCCATTAACGCTAGTGATGGGGAAAGACTGTGTAGATCAAACACCATTCCTCAAGATTACCCAGAGTTTCCATTAGACACAGCTCAATTCAAAGGAATGAAAATAGAGGTAGATTTGAGACTTTTAAAAATTATAATGATCTATTGAGAAATCCTGCAATGCACAAAACGAGCAGCCTAGTACAACACAACACATTGCCAAAGAAATCTGCACAACCCGTTGCCAAAGAAAATCATGAGATACTGTCCCTAGAAGATATACCTACATGCCTTTTCATATCCCACTTCCTTCACTCTTGCCATTCACTTGTTTACTTCACGGAGTAGTTTCTACTGCAAATTTCCATTCTTTCTACAGATTGTTTTATTCTTTGGCACTTGTTAAACTTGATAAATTCAGTTTGCTCTTTGGTCGCAGCAAGGAAAAAAGGTGAGAGAGAAACAGATAAAAAAGTTGCAGTTGTGCATTTCTGTGGTCATGCAAAACATTTAACAAAGCTTTAAGTGACGCATTTCACTACTAGGGTCCGCTTATATGCATGATTCTCCCAGTGCCCACAGGGCGTGACCGCCAGGGTGCAGATGTGTGCACACATGCACGCGTCCAAGTTGTGTGTGCTTCTGCATGTGCCTATATCAGCCATGCATAAAAGTTGGTGAATTTCTGAAATTTAACTCTAGATTTACATTTGGTTTCAGATGAACATTCTGGGCTCCTATTGGAGGACTACCATTTGGGGTCTGGCAAACCTGAAAGAGATACATTCATCATAATCCTAACTATAAAAGTTTCCTCTTTTTCATGGGCATAAAACTTCCATTATAGTAAGATTCTCAAAACTTCAGAAGTCAAGAGAACGGCTCTTGCCTTCCAGATAGCAAGACTCCTTATGCAGAATTCTGCACACATTTTACAGATTTCTCTCCATCAATAGATCAGTACCTAAGATATTTCTGACAGGATAATATCTAGTGATAGTTCAACTCATATCACTTTGTTCCACACCTGCAGTGTTTGTAGCACAACTGACTGCAGTCTTTTCTCATTTAAGCTAGCTCTGTGAACAGAAACAGAATACCTTCCTTATGCTGAGCTGTCTTAACAAAAAAAAACGAACCAACCAACCAAACAAAAAATCAAATCAATCCCCTTAAGCATCTCCCTTTCATCTGTTCCTTCAAACTGAGGCATTTCACATCAATGGCTTTTCACTATTGTTTATTTCATATTTCATCAGGGAATCCTGTGGCTGGCTAGCTGATATCGCCCATCGTGATTTCTGGAGCTGCTAGGAAACCACCGTCTCCAGCAGACTCCAGACCCGGTTGTGCATACTCAACAAATTTGGAAGTCCCACCAGTCCTTAACTGTGACAGCATGGACAAAGTAGATGCATCTTTAATTCAGCAAAAAGATAAACCAAATAATACTTATCTCCAGTTTACACCCAGTTTACTGTGAAACATGCAAGCCCTGAAAAATCTAACTGTCCTCAAGAAAAATATTCAATACTTGGTATTTCTTCACATTTTGCTACCTTTTTGGTTCTCCTCTGATAGGCAAAAGCAATATCCTGCCTCTGTTCATTGCTGCGGTTTGTCAGGATGTTGATGATGGTGACTTCATCCACACCTACAAAGATATAAGACAAAGAGTTAAAGAAGCTTTCTTGTTACTGTTCTCTTTGTATTAATATGTTCTCCGACACTCAAAACATAGCGTATGTGCTATCTGGAGCAGAGCTCAACAGCTCTTATTAGTACACGTCATGTCTGGCCTTGGACAACCAAGGCAACCAATTAATTAATTAATTAACTGGCAACCAATTACAGCCCAGATTTTTGATGTGATGCAGATCTTTGTATACACAGGCACGTATACACCTCAACAAAGTCTAGTTTGCGACCAGCTTTGCTACTTCTGTTTTCTGCTTCACTTGTGTGTCTGCGTACTTGTGTTCAGTCACTCAGTAGTCTGCAAAACGTTGCTCAAGAACACAGGCTTTAAAACTGACATGAACTTGTACTTACTAAAGCCTGCCCTGTCATTTCAGCAGAGTGTTTTCAATTAAGGCTTCCTAATAAAGCAGTTGTATTTTCTATTTAACCTATAGTCACTTAACTATCACTCCAAACATAAAAATGGGAAAATAGAACAGTATATTTCATTCGCTCAGCAGCTCAGAGGCTCAGGAGACAGAAGGGTTTTTTGACACTGGAAGAACTACGTATGTGCTACTTTTTTTGAAGTCATCACTCAAAGATCCATGCTGAGTTTTAACTAGCATGCCTAGAGGACTTGGACGCTAAAACTCCGAACCTATCTTTTAAGTGAACTACATATCAGTAAAAGTTTTGTTTTAAGTCAAGTTTTCCAAATCCATGCACTTAAATGCAACTGCAGGCTGAATGCAAGGAGATCATTAAGATCTATTGTAAGTTAAAAGCCATCTAGGGTTAGATACTCTGGCCGTCAATAGAACATAATGCACACTGCAGCTTTAGATCCTGTAGGGGTCATCAATGCAGGTCAATGCATATAGAGAAAAACTTTTATGCTGTACAGGAAGCAGGATTTCCAGATATTATTTCCTAGATACAGCTACTTGGTACTCTTATGTTATTTCCAATGCAGTCTTGTGACTTTTCCACTTGCTCCTGCCTACTGCTACTAACTTGCGCTTCAGATTCCCTCTCGTTTCCCGGCTTCACTTGCTGTTTTCAAACTGGATTCTCCTGAACTTGCATTCTTTGGACTGGCACAGTTCTTCCTCTGATCACAATTCTCATCTGCAGCTTGGTCTTGGCAACTCAAAAGATATCCCGGAGCCTGGTTGGACTGGAGGCTCTTGAGCTTCTTGAGATGAACCTGGACCATCTGACTTACCTCTGTATCCTGTGATAGGGCTCTAACCCAATGGACATACAGTTACCACACCCTGCAAACATCCATGCCTCTCAAAGCGCTCTCTGCAAGGACAGCTGCCCTTTGTTTATTCACATCAACAGAAAAAAGCCAAACAAGCTGTATTTATATTCCTTTAACTAAGCATTAAAGTCATATTAAATACTTTCTCTTACTCTGAGAGCTTATAGAAACTGCCCTTGCAAGAACCCAGTCTCCATTACTCAAAGGAAAATGTTTAGAAATGCAAGCCCCCCTGCCACAAGGTAAAACGAAAGAATTGTTAGCAACAGATACAAAGCAGCCAGGGGAAAAAAAGAGTTGGAGTAACAAGTAACAAAAACAGTGTGACACACTTTGACTGAATGTATCTGAACAGAACTGAAAAAGTCATCCCAGGTGCACTTAATCAAAAGGTAGGTGGTTGAAATTTCCAAAGGCCTGGGTGAGGACATACTAGCTTGCTCAAGTAAAATCTCATTTTGAATTTAATTTTCTTACTCTGTTTAAAATAGCAAACACAACTAACTTTTTGTAGGACAACTATACTCTTTTTCTTAGAATGCCTTGCAAAAAGATACAAGTGAAAGAATTTGAGTCCCCTTCCCCAATTCTCCTATGCACATTTACGTCTGTATCGCTGAATTCAGCCCCTAGGTAAAATGTCCGTTTTTATTTAATGTTCATTATTGGTTAACCAAAGCTGTCTGGACATGCCATTCAAACACAGGTGGTGAATAACAGCACAGCTGGAAGTAAAGTCTTCCAAACAGAAGAGTTAGCACAGCTTATAAGTGGATGGACAGAGGAGACAGCTAGAACAGCTCTCATTGTTATGCTCAAATATCAAGCTATTTGATACACATAGCTATGCTGTGCAACCATTTGTTTTGGACTATTTCCAGACTGACTGGATGAAGCTTAGAAGAGGCAAAACTATTTCTAAATACTGCACGTCTAATACAGTGCATATTCTTCTGCAACAGAAAGATAATGTATAACTAGTTATTTTTTCTGGTGAGTTGCATGCCAGGTTTTGAAGCAAATAGGTGGCTCTAAACTAGAGGTCAGAACAAGCCCAGAGTTTCGACTCAGGTCTCTCCATTTACTACCAGTATTGTGAATAGCTTCTTTCACATTTGCATACAGATCAGTGTAAATGATGATTTTTTGATAAAAAACAGAAAGTAAGGACTAGATCAGAAGCTACCAGCAGGACTCACATCCCTGCCAGAATCCATCTACATTTTCTTTACTACCCTAAGCTACCTTACAGCAACTTGAAACAAAGGACTGCAACAGATATTATAAAATTAATCATATAAAGCGTGAATATTGCAAAAGACCTTTTAGCCCCTAGCTACAGAATCTAAAACAATGAGTCAAATCCAAAATTCCTTTCTCCCTCTTCACCACATTTTTCATGATGAAATATTGTACTTGATAGCCTCACGTCCTCAGCTCATGCTGAGGCAGACCTACATCAGTGCTCTTATTCACACAAGCTTGGCCTGCAAAAGTCAAAAGGCCCTGGAAAGCATCACATGTCTGAGTTACAAATTTTGGTTTGAAAACATGCTGACTGCACATTTCAGCCATAATCTACTCCTGCACATTTTAAAGTGTTCCCATTTTACAGAAGACGACAAATTCTCCCAGTCCAGAAATGGCCACACACAAACAGACACACAGACATTGGGCCTTTCAGCTGTTGCAGGGCCACAGCATAAGCCAATGTCTTAAGCTTTTTAATAAATTCTAAATTTAAACCATTCTTGGCATTCAAAAATGGCAAATGACATTTTCAAGTTTTATCACAGTTGTGATAGATTAGAAGCCCACAAATGACTGCACCCAGGCTTCTTATTTGTATGCTTTGTGGATGGAAATATGAAGTTAACTCATTGCTCTGGCATTTAACGGAAAATAAGTGCTTGTACTTCACACTTGGGAATCATGCTGCATGGACAGGATGCTGACTCACATCTGCTGAGGTGGGGTGGAGCAGGAGAGCAGCTCAAACATTTTTCTTTGCTGTTCACTAAAATCTCTGGAAGTTTCAAAGTAATGAAACAAAAGTTTATTTCCAAATTTATTCTGGCTGGGCAGATTTTATCAGTGCATTTCTATCAATGGGCAACTGAAAATTAGACATTGTGGCTCACAATTTTTTTTAAAACAAGGAAATTCCTTGCAGATGGAAATGTATTTGATGGGGGGGGGAAGTAGATCTAAAAAAAAAAAAAAAACCGAACACCTCTGATTAATTACAACTGTTCTTCTAAAGGAGGCAAATCTGTTGCATTGGTACGATCGCAGTGTTATGGCTCATTCAGCAAAAAAAGAGGAAATTAACATAACCAAAATGATCAGTTAGAGTTTTTAATTTTTTTGGTTTAAAAGACACTGTACTTGAATTTCCATGGGCCAAAACAACAGCACCAGCATTGTTCTGAACAAAATGGATGATATGGACATTCTCTTAACTTTCTAGGACAAGGTGAGAACAGAGCTAACATACTTTCATTTTGTATGAGCTGGATACATTCACTCAGCTCATTTACTGGAAGTCTGTTCTCTTAAATTTCATTTTCAAAGACAGCACGGACAGAACACCAGAAGCTATTTCTGTCCTAACAGCACCCAGGTTCTACAGAGATCAATCTACATGAATGAATGAAAAGGGATTGCAGCTGGCCTCAAATTATTAGTGGGAGATGTACGTGATTAGCCCTTGTGAGACCTCAAACTATTGTGTATCTGGTACCAACACCGTCCTAGGACTATTTGACTGAGCTCATGATCTGCAGTTCTCCTGATCCCACTGGAATTAAAGGCAAAAATTTAGATAAAATAAGACCATAATTTCAGCTCTGCTATTTTGCTTAGCAAGATTTAACCAAACCCAAACCGTGTTGCAATGAGATATTTCTTTACTGATACTATTAATATTCTGAACATGTGACTGATGCAGTTTGGTGGATTTCAGGCACTATCCTCTCCCACCAGCATGCCAGCAGATTTCCTCTAAACTTTTACATCGTAACATTAAAAACTCTGTTAAAAGATACGGGCATGTTGGATACACTATATAAACAGTGAATTCAATCTTACAGAAGATCCCTGTTACAGTTTACACTTCATCGTTGTTTTACCAATTTCTGGATATAATGAATTTATCACAGATGTATGTTCTAGGCACTTTCCTACAACAAACCTGTATTTGAATTCTGCCAGTCATGGAATAAAAAAGTATACCATGAGACCTCAATAAAAGGTTGTGGTTTAGGTTGCAAGTAATTAGCTATTCAGAACTTAGTCTGACAATAAAATTATTTAACAAAGTATTTGAGACACACAGTGTCACAATGCTAGGGAATAACTCTGAAACAGAAAAGAGATACTTTAGCAGTCTGTTTTCCTACAAAGAATTAAAAGGAAACGTAACATATGCTCCACTAATACTCTCCTAGTTAGTTAGTTTCTTCTATTTAGGCTCATATACTTGAGCTAATCTATACACAGGGCACAGTGGAGCATTCTACAGAAATTAAACAGCCTCTTGTCCTATACAGCAAAAAGCCAACATTTACAAAGGGCACGCTAAGGCACTAGATGAACTTGCTACAGAAAAACTACACAGCATAAAAATGAAACTGGCATAGCAATGATATTTATTACAAAGGGAACAAGCCAGAACTGTAACAAGTTATTTGCATTACACAAACTCTAGGTTGAACTATTGCTAACTACAAACTGGTTTTATATCATCTAGAGCCATTTTTGCACATCTCCCGTTCTAGGCTGTTGGATATATATAAAACCCCTGCATTTAATTCAACTCCACTCAAAGCCCAGCAAAGGGCTGGGCAATATATTTGTGCAGTATAGTTTCTGCAGATAGATCTAAGCCCCAATAAACACATCACAATATTTCCCACAGTTCCCACACTAGATAAATAGATGGCTAATCTCTGAGGAATTAATCTGAAGAGTGTGAATAAATGCTGGAATATTTAGATGTTATGTAGAGCAGAACAGTCAGACACTCTACCCCAGATCTTTGCCCTAAAACAAATATACAGCTGTTGTTTAGCCAGTAAAATAAGTTTCACCCATTTTACATACAATCACCAAAACGGAGATTCATGAGACTGATTCAGAGAGTTTGCATTACTGGGAAACAGCTGGATAATTAATTAGACGGTAACTTTTCAAAACTGGCCCGCCCTGACCGCAAATACTGTACTTGCACATTGTTCATACAAAAATGCAGAAGGTATACCCAAATGATTTTTCCCAGACATAAGACTCCACGGGATATAATCTCCATAGCACTGCTACAAAGGATAAAATTTGAAAGACTACTTTGATGATTGTGAAATACAGGCGCATTATAGCATGTAAAGACCTAGATTTTCGAAACAAAGAAAAGGCATGGGTTTCAGGTACCAGGAGTCCTTTATCCTGTTACAGAGTAAAGCCCCCAAAATGCTTGGTTCTTACATCCATGTTTTTTTGAAACTGACCACCCCAACTACAAAAAGAGCTTGCGTATATATTTACAACCTGTTATAGCTCTCTCACTGTTTCAAAACAAGATGAACAAGTCATATTACTCCTTACAATTCTGTGATAACTTAACATTGCTTATTTCTACCTTCCGCATACAATGCAAACTAATTGCTAGAGAGTCAGTGATACTTCCTAGGAAAAAGGTAGCTGTTGTGGGTAGGTACTGTTTGTTCATTATGAGTGTTCTCTTTTTAGCTCAAAACCTATGAAGATATTTCCCAGAAATATTTTAAAACGTTTTCTTGCAGAAGAATTTCCCTGTGTAGCTGTTTACATCACTGTTTGTAGAAAACCAATTCTTGTTTCGATGATTCAGAATTTTCATTTGGAAAAAAAAGTATATATATTTTAGAGAGTTCACATTTTAGCAAGTTTTCTGAATTAGCAGACGAAAATATCCTATAACCAAGCATTTGAGGTGCAAGGAAACAGTACTTGGCAGAAGGGTCCCAACACACTTTTTCTTTATTTCCCGCAGGAATACTTCCTTTGAGACAGTCTTCATGGTGGAAGATTCAGTATTAAATCCATAAAGAGATTCTCTCCTTTAAAGCCACCCTCCCAAAAAAGCTCCTGGATAACAAGCTAATAAGCAGCGATAAGCTTAATCCTACAAACATGCATGTCCATGAATAAGTTTCCCTATTATTTATTCAAAGGGTTGGGAATCATCTCTCATACAATGTTTCCATGTATCTTAAAACCAAACTCAGCAAACTCCTTATCTTTGCTGGAAGAAAGTGAAAAAATGACATAAGCTTGACTTTCCTGACTGGAAAAGCTTTTCTACTGCCTAGGATATTGCAATTTCCTTTTGCATTAATTAACAGCTTGAGTGTTAAAAATGTGTAAATTTGTACCTATCCTGAAAGTCTGATGGTGTATTTGACATGTTTAGGTTTGCCCTACAATCAGAGCTGTAAAAAATTATTAAGTCTAGACAAAACTCTACATACACACAAAGCATCTTCTGCCAAACATGATGACATTGACTCCTGTCTTGCAAGAGGTTTTTTTAAAATAAAAACAAACTATAAAATGATTCAAAATCAGAACTGAACCTACTTTAATGAGCAGAAAAGGGATTTCTCCAGTTAAATTAAGAAACCTTGTGAAAGGAAGCCTCATGCTTGTTAGGGAGGGGCAATATTTTACATTTTATAGCAAGTCAAACATGTGCTTTGTGGGCACTGATGGAAGACTCTGCATTTCGTTCTGTTGAGAAACTGTTTGGCTTTTAAATGTCTCCCTTTCCTGACATGTAGGCAAAAGACTTGGCAGTTCCAGCTACACCCAGCTGTTGCTTCTCTGGCCTGGAGAAAGTCTGGAAAGTGTGGCACACCCTTTCTCTGTTACAGAGCAGGACAAGACAGAGGATCACTGCCCTGGGAGTACCACCAAGGTATTACTCTGGAGTTGTAGTTCATACTCCCTGTACTCCTGATCGTTTCAGTATACCAGGCTTTTCCATGCAGCTGCATCTCTCCCCTGCTCCATCATGGTCTCCTACCAGTCAGTGGAAGTGGTGGATCCTGGCACTCATATAAGGAGATGGAAGCCTACCTGAGAGCCTGGCTCAGAGAAGCAGAGGACTCTCACATTGCCCTTGAAATACTGCAACGCCATTTCAGAAATCAGATTCTATTGTTTCTAGGACCTTCTCTGACACCAAATTAATACAAGATACATGAGCATTTAGTTCAAAACCCAGGAGAAAAATGTTCAAACCATCCCTATTCAGCTGTCTGGAGAGCTGAAAGGAAGGAGAAATGTCCAATCCAATAACCCAGTAGAAATCCATGATTCAGAGCTTGGTCCCAAATAACTGTCACAGAAGTTGACACTTCATTCTCAGTGGCAGAAAAGTAGTAGAATTTGAAGTACTAATGAGTCAAGAGAAAAAAGTGGACATTTTCAGTGACAACCTCAATGACTCTTGGCCACAAACTTCAAAAGCATATTCAAAGCATGCATTTACAGAGTTCAACTTGGTCAAGATTTCATCAGTGAGGTCTGAGAAATCCAACACTTCCTAAAATAGGTATCCTAGAGTAAGGATATGAAAACGTTGGTCTTGAGACACAGTACCTTTTTTTTTTTTTTTTTTGCACACTAGCATTCTATCTTACAAGTAGAATCAAAGCCACAGCCCACGTTCCTCACCTTTGGTCTTGATGGCTGTTTCCAGGGCTGCAGCATCCCGGTCAGCATCAAAATTTGAGTAGGCCTTAACTGTGGCATATGCACTTGGTGGGAGAGAATGCTAGAAGAAAAAGAAGAGAAACCACCTCAGAGTTAAATCACGTAATCCTGTCCTTGCTGCAGTTAATAAAACACGTGCCTCTTGGTTAACCGGTATTTTGCCAAATTTTTAAATACAAGGACTACCATCGGGTATCTGTGAAAATGGAATTCTGCTAAGAGACACTGAACTCTGTTCTCCTGATGTGTATTGTCCAGAAATCCACTTACAGCCATGCTTATTATAACAAAGAATACATACAAATAGATATTATGTATTATTGCAGCAAAAACCTAACACATTCCAAGTTTACTCGCTAAACCTCAATCTTCCAAAATCTGGAGTATTCTGGCTAGATCTGAAGAAAATGGACTGCAGAAAGCTAATTCAAAGAAGGTTTAAATATCTGCCATGAAAGTCTGAAGTATTGTAGATTTGAAGCCAATACTTTACTTTCGATTGCAGGCTACAATTAAAAAAAAAGTAGAGGGAGATGGAAGATTAACAATGAGTAAGTCAGAACAAGTTTTGTGCCCTATCTCATAGACTTTAAAGGTAACCCCCAAAAAAATCTTTTTAAGCCTATCATTCTAGAAAGCACAAGTTACTCACAATCTCCTTTTGAAACTCTATGCCTGCAGATACTTGATTTAAGCAGCACGAGGCTAACAAAACCAAGTGACATTTCAAATTACCTCTGCTAAGAATAAGAGGACTTGCAGGCAAGTTTACTTAGTAAACAGTTGTAACATTTTAGAAGTCACTAGATTTTATCACCTGTAATATCCTGAAGATTATAGCTTCAAATAGGAAGTCACCAGAATAGAGATTCAACTCTTCTCAGCTGCTTCAGTGTAAGCTAACAGTTTAGCTTGTATCACCTCCCATGGGCAGGTTAAACTAAACCACAGATTTTCGTATAAATAGCTGAGAAATATTCACAAATCCTACTCTGCTGAGTTCAATTTAGAGACCTAAACCTCTGGCAGAAAGGTGTAGTGACTAACACCTGAAATTGCCATAGCTGCTTCCTAAGTGAATGAATGACTAAGCTTTCTTGGTAAACATCCTTGGAAACTTTTGTTTCAGTCCCTTACTCCAACAGAATGCTGGGTTCATAAACAGGACTAAACTATCTTAATATCGGAGGATCTTTTTACATGCAAATTGTTAAAAGGAGGACAAATTTTAACTAAAAAATTCCATTGTTTTTGACTACATTTGACTCTATCGTCACACTGTCCTGAACAGATTCCTCTGGCAGCAACCACTGTGTCTTCTTGAGACAGTCTGTGTTACGCTGTGGAAATGGGAAGTCAAAAAAGCACCGATAAACTGAACCATTCTTTCTTTTGTCTCTTCCCATCAACTCAATCGAGCAAAGTGGCCCCAGTTTGGCCCACAGCCACACCACAAACACAGCCTTTCCTGTTAGCAGATCAAATTGCTAACAGAAACAGTAAATGGAGATGTGCAATGCAGCCTCAGAGAAATCTGTGCGCCTGAAAGATTCCTAAACCAAAGCCCATTAGTATACACAATCATGTGGCACTTCTATCTAATCAACCAGCACTGCTGGATAATCTGAAGCAAGTCACCTGGTGAGCTTAGCAAAGTTGGGTACTTCTCCTTCCACCCCGCTCTAAGTATTATCTAAGTCATTTGGATAGAGCATTTTACTGTAAGGTAATATCATACATAGAAAATAAATAGCATATTTGCAATTTGGGAGCCATCTTTTCCTCTGTCCTCCCACCCAATGCATGCAACAAATTGGATTCAGATCCCCTGACACTGCTCAAAAGACCCAGGAAGCACCATGTACCCAGGAAAGACAGAAACCTTCTGCTGGCTACTCTACCAGTAAATTGACCGTCTTCAAATTCAGCATCCACAAAGATTATGCTTTACTCTCTCAGGTGACTGTCTTGAGTACTTCAGTGGAGTAGACACAGGTCTTATCAGGGTGATTATTCTGCCTCTGAAAAACAGCCATTTAAATTCCAGACTGTATGGTCTCAAATTACTCTGGCACACTACTGTACCACAGTACTGGTACTGTATGTTTTCAGACAATAGAGTTTTTCCAACTGACTTTCCATTTAGTAGTTCAACAGAAAATTTTCCAGGATGTGGCAGTAAAAGTCCAGCTAGTATGTAACTGCACAAGCAGTCTGGGCCAGACTAAAGCACAGAAAGATTATTTTTTTTTTCCCTCCCCACATATCTAGCGTGCTTCAGAGGTCCTCCAACTGGTTTACTTCCTCCGAGCTTGATGAATTCAATCCTATTGGGAAAAACAGAACATGAGGGAGAAGTATATATCACTAAGATGAAAGCCGAAGAGGCTTAATTTCTTCTAAAAAAAACAGGACCCTTTCAAGATATCTACATCTCAGTATTCCCTGTCCTCAAAAAAAAAATCACTAGTCTTGTTTGAAAACTGAGTAACTTGACATCATCCGGCAAGTAACCCATAAAGTCTTGACTGAAATACAGGCTTCCAATTCTCAGTGCAAAGATGGAGCATATGATGAAGCATAACAGCAAGATCTTTGTTACAGAATCTTTCTATACTCTCTTGAGGATAGATGCAGAAACTGCAAGCATACATTAACTTCAGCTCAACTCCCTCCTTTTCTTAAAGGAAGGAGAAAATAATACCAGGATGAAGCAAGCAGGCCAGTTTCTTCGTCTTGAAACAAATCAATCGCTGTACTACTGATGCAGAATGCACAAATTCCTTACTGCACAAGACAGGACTGGGGTTCAGCTGTGGCCATTCTATACCCTCAAGGTTAAAAACTTTTTTTTGCGAAAAATGGGTGGCTGAAGTACTGTGTTTAACATCAGTTAACTTGCTGAATCATTGCTTAGGGGAACTGGACAAATCCTTTATGCAAACTAGCTACTCAATAATTCTGGCTTCCAACTTAGGATCTACAGAACAAACCAGCTGCCTGGTATTTCTAACAGTCTACGGCAGGATTATTATGAAAAATACTGGCATGGAACAGTATTCAAATTTGACTTTTGCAACTACTCACAAGCATCATGGAAGAAACATTTCTGCCCTTGAGAATAGATTGCTCAAATATTATTCCAAGAGTAATTCTCTGTTGAAACAAACACGGCCAAGAAATCTAAAGAGTTCACTGCTTTTGCTGTACAAAATCAGCATTGTTACTTACAGCGCACTAGCCAGTTCTTTGCAACAGCTCTTTCACAAAGATCATATGGTATGATTTATTTTGCAACAACTAACAAAAATAGGCAAAAAGTTTGCTTGTACCGAGCTCAGATCTGGAGTTACCGGCTATAAAATTTAGAAGTATAGCAAGTTTATAAGCAACATGATGAAATAATACATGGATAGGATTCACTTCCTCTTCAGTGACAATCACAGAACCACAAATTAATGGCATGAGATCCTGACACTACACTGGTAACCCTACCATCTAATGTTGCAACGTAAGAAATCAAACAAAGAGTGTGTGGCTTTCTGGTATATTTCAATAAAACTATCAAGCAAGTGCAGGTGTGGTAGAAAATACACAATCAAAACCAAGATTCTTTACGCTTTTCAAAACAGAAAAATGAGAAAAGAAGTTTGAGAAAATAAGTGTTTTCAAGAGCTAGTTTGGTTTTGGTGACAACCATTACAGGAATAAGATCCCCAAGATTTTAATTCCCATTAAGTAATGTTGTCCATTTTTAATTGAAAAAAAAGAAAAACAAAAGAAAACTCTGAAGGTATCAGCAAAACCGAACACATTTCCATTTTCTCTTATCATCCTTAACTCACTTGTTCCTTTGGAAGAAAGGGGGACCACAGATGCAAACTAGCCATTCAGTTTGTCCTGTGATGCCTTTCATATGGCCCAGCACATGAATACTGCTTATGCTGCTGGCCAGTTAGAAGCACTGTCATTAAATCTAGTCACCTCATAGAATTATCCTATGGTTTACAGCTGCTTTGTGGTTGAACACTGATCACTGCTGACTAGGTTTTTAGTCAATGTAAGTAGAAGAGATGTGTGGAATCTTGTAAACTGTACAGCTCAGTACAATTGCTGGTAGAGAGTCCTGTAAAAGAAACAAAATGAGGCATTTAAGTAAAACAAACTTTTCTTGTTTAGATAATACTACTTACATCTCCTTCAAGGCTGAGCTTGCTTAAAATTTCATGGACAGTAGACATCTTGAAAGAATGCTGGAGGAAGAGGAAAAAAAACCCACATAAGTAGATTTGAATATATTTACAGTTACATCAGTGTGTTATATAGTCCTGAAACACTGCAGCACTGAAAGTGACATAGTCCAATGAATCTGCTAATACCAAGCAAGAAAGCAGATTTAAGAGTTTCCAAGCCACACCACCATTAATAATGCAACAGAGAGAGGTCTTCATTCTATTGTACAATAAAAATTTCTTTCCTTCTTAAAAAAACATTTCTTCTGCATTTTAAGTACTTAAACTTAGGAACTGGAGAATCTCTACCTTAGAAACAGAATCAACTAAGCCTACAACTCAGTACCAGGAAAATTGTGCAGAAACATTATAACCTGGTCCAGCTCAAAGCCAAAAAGCAGCAACAAGTAGTAGCATTTAAATCAGACACTCAATTCCTCAAGTACTATGGAATACATTGAAACTATTTATATCAATGCAGACATTTTATAAAACCATAATGATGTTCAATCTTTAATCCTGGACACAGGCCACAAATTGCACTACTTTCAGCCTCGCTGGGTGCCATTCCCTTCACTTCCACGCTATCACCAGTTCCCCCAATCCAGCTCCCAGACACCATGCCCTCCGAGCCAACTCCCAGCTATTGCGCAGCCAGTGCTGAGTACGTCCCTTCAACTGGTTTTCAGATTCTTTTTTTATCCTCCATCGATCACTCTTCTGATGGTATGGGCGCTTCCTCAGGCAAGCAGTACTAGCCGCCCAGGCAAATTTCCCAGACAAACCAAACTCCTCTCCACTCAATGATCAATCTGAAACGAAGAGCTCAGAGAACCAGCACGAAGTTTGAAATGGTTTCTTAATAATGGAGATCTGGTTATAACTCTAGAACAAGTGTTTATTTTTTGTTTTAACTCCTGTAAACCTCCTGTACATCAAGAGAAAAGCAGAGAAATCCTTACTTTTAGCAGATATAGCAAGTGTTATGAAAATAAAATGCAGAAACACTATTACGTGGCTGTTGTAGTTAACTGCTGTAATCGCACCTTTCCTCACTTAGAATACAGAAAGAAAACCTTTCATCTTCTGCAGCAACCCAGGTATAAGTAACAAAAGCAACTTTACTTCAAGGAAAAATTAAGATCCCAGGGGAGGAAAAATAAGACAGAGAATGAAAACCACAGTCATGCATCAACTTATTTGAGAAAAAATTTTTTTCAGAGCAAAAATCCAACTCAATCCTTTAAAGATAGGCTGCAGAAGTTGTAATAAGCTGCTACCTGCTAATGGCACTATTAACCATGCCGGTTAGAGGGAGATGATATATTACTGAGTTATAAAATTCTTAATGTTTACTCTTAGTAAAATAAAGTGCCTAACAACGAGACCTTTGTACTCTGACAGTATTACCACCAATACCAAAGATGACCAACTGAAGTCCTTTAGTCTTGCTTGTCACAACGAACTTATAAACACCCGTGAAAGCTGAAGACAAGCAACTGCAGTATGATCTTTCACAAAACAATCACTGAACAGCTTTTTGCAAGACTCCTGTTTCTAAATCAATTAAAAACCACATTGAATCAGGCTTGTTGGAACAAAAAACTTGAACAGAGTCCAGGAAAAAAACTAACACACCCTCACGTAGAGCTGGAACTGGGAGGTTCATATCATCAGCACACAACAATGCTATAGCAACCGACCGCCCATCAACAGCAAGCTGGCAAAAGAAAAAAACCTGGAGTTTTGCAAGAATCTTTGCAGAGAAAGATCTTTACTCAGAGAACAAACGCATCTCTTGTCACACCCTGCTTTGCAAGGCACTCATATTTGAGAACAGACTCTCACTGTTCTCTGATGGATTGATTTTATCTGATGTAGTTTTGACAAGTTCTGGGTGGGTTTGAACATGTAAATAGAAAACACTTGCACTAACTTGTTCTTCCTTACACTGGAAAAGAACCAACTTCTACCTTCCAGCTGTAAACTAATACTTCAATACCTTAAGGCAAGTTTCTACAACTGGTTTTCCTCCTAAATCCACATTACGTAATCCTGAATCATGATGTTATTCTACTAAAAGAGATAGCATCTGTTTTGACCTCGACCCCCACAGTAATTACTGGTTTGCAAATCTGTTATGATATTGGGTCTAGTCTATATTCAGTACCTTATCCCCGTAACTGTTTGGTGACAGAAGAGTGTGTGTTTAAAAGCAGCCCATATCTCGATTCCCAGGGGCAGCTCACATACATTACAGCAGAAAAAACCCATGTGATCCATGGAAAAAAGTGGCAGGTATGCACAAACAACTACATTGCTCAATAAGCAGAGTTAGCATTTTAAGAAGCACTTATACTCTTGTAGACAGAGATTGAGCAAAGGGTGTTCCCAGACATCTGAGCCAAGGAAACGGCATCCCCAGAATGAGAGAATGGAAACTCTTTCACTCGGAGCACATTTGTGCCAGGTCTCCAAAAACTAGGGCAAGTCCTGGCAACAGAGGAAAGGAGGAAGAGCATGGAAGATCCACAATATCTGCTGTAAATGAAGTAAGGTCTCAAAATCATTCATTTACATACAGTGCTAACCACAAGTACAAATGAACCAGGCTGTATCTCCCCAAATCCCCCATAAGGTTTAGCAGTTCATTAAAAGCCACTACTTGGACAAAAAATTAGCTTTAAAGAAAAAGATTTCAAAACCCATTAAACCATGCTACCACAAACATACTTTAACCGTTCTCTTCCACAGACATTGCTAATAACCCAGGAGATGTTTCATTCCAGGAAGATACTACAAAAGGACTTTTATTTCTTCGAATTCAAGTTATTCTCACTTCTGAGGCTTTACAGGAAACCTCTTCTTTTTTTTTTTTTTGTTTTTAATCAAGGCAAACCATTCCATACGTTATCTAATGGAAACTATACTCACTAGGGCTGCTTATCACAACTAACTCCACCAACAGAAGTCACACATAGGGATGGATCACTCAAGGGCGCAGTGGTTCCAAAAGATTCTTTCACTCTTGACCTATATGTTAGGGTCCGCACACCTCTATGCAGATACAGCGTTTGAATAAGAACATAAGAACAACTAACATTAAACAGAATTAAAGCTGCCACGCATAAGAATACAATTTACTTCTGCATGACTATCCTGAAATCATTTCACTTTTCTTCCAGTTAGAACACATAGCAACATTCCTTTGCCCTATCTCCCCTCCTCAGTCGAGGAGGAGGAAGTGGTGTCCAAGCTGACTCACAATCCAGAAGGCAGCAGCAAGATCTCAGCAATTCTGGTCATGGCCGGGGCAGGGTGGGAGAGCCGTGCCCAAGGCTGGCTCGGCGAGGAAGGAACCGCACAGGGCTCCCTGGCACGCCGCGGGCGAGAGCAAAGGCAAACTTCGGGTAAGCACTGGCTACCCAGAACGCTCCCTGTGCCAGGGCTTCTCTTCTGCCCACGCCAGCGGCTGCATCTGCAGCGGCGCCAGCAGCCG